AATGAAAAGGGAACTGACTGTATGGGAGAACATATTTGCCAATGATACATTAGACAAGGGTTTACTCTCCAAAATATATAAAGAACTCATACAACCCACCACCAGGAAAACAAACAACCCAATTCAAAAACAGGCAAGGGACCTGAACAGATACTTCTCCAAGGAGGACATACAGATGGGCCATAAACTTATCAAAAAATCCTCAACATCACTAGTCATCAGAGAAATGTAAATTAAAACCACAAAGAGATATCACCTCATATCTGTCAGAATGGCAATTATTAATAAATCACCAAATGACAAATGCTGGCAAGGATGTAGAGAAAAGGGAACCTAAGTGCACTGTTGGTGGGAATGCAAACTGATGCAGCCTCTGTGGAAAACAGTATGGACTCACCTCAAAAAATTAAAAATAGGGTCACTGCCTTATGACCCAGAGAGCTTATTCCAGGAACATACCCTAAGAATCCTGAAACACCAATTCAAAAGAACCTATGCACCTCTGTGTCCATAGCAGCAGTATTTACAATAGACAACTGTTGAAAACAGCCCAAGTGCCCATCAGTGGATGAATGGATTAAAAAACTGTGGTTCATTTACATGATGGAGTACTATGCAGCAGAAAGAAAGAATTCCTACCTTTTGCAACAGCATGGGTGGAACTGGAGACTATTGTGCTAAGTGAAATAAGCCAGTTAGTAAAAGACAAATACCATATGACCTCACTTATAACTGGAATCTAATGAACAAAATAAACTAATGAACAAAATTGAACCAGGGACGGACCTGAAGAAATGGAACAGATTGAGAGCTGTAGGAGGGGAGGAGGGAGAGGGGACTGGTGGAAGGAAGGGGAAGGGATTAGTCAGCAAACACGTATGAATGACTCATGGACATGGACAGTGAAGAGGGGATTGATTGTGGCCGAGGGGAGTGGGCTGGGTGGAGGGGGAAAAAGGGAAAAAAATTGGAACTGTACTAGAATAAATAATAAAAAATAAAGTACAGAAAAAAGTTGGAAACATAAATGTCTGTAAAATACTAATACTCAAATGTCTGCACAAAACCATTAAATTCAAGGAAGAGATAAAAGATGTGAGCTACAGAAACAAAGTCATGCTAAAACATGTGAGGCAAAAAACAAGTGACCTTCCATTGTGAAGACCAGACACTTAAGTGTAGTTTCCAAGTGCCTACAAATTAGTTTTTTTAGGTTTCACTTTAAATTGGCTACTTTAAAAGTGTATGAACAAAAAGGGGCAACTTTTCTAAATTAATTGTTTTTAGCCAACGAAAATTCATTACATACAGCTAAATTGGGTAACTGATAATTAGGTTAAAGAAAGGACTATGTATATAAAATTATCCACATTATAGTGCCTTGTATATGTTTTTGAAAAGTTTTAACAATGTTATGGAACACTGTAACACTTCTGAGTCTACTAATATTTAGATTTTGTTACTGAAGATATCTCTTTCATAAAAGATATTCTTATATTTTATAATATCAGAGGATATGATAATTAAACTATATTTTATTGACAAGTAAAATAGAGTGATTCTATAAATGAAGCAGATAGTAGGTCCCATCAATTTTGTTTATTTAAAAAATATATATTCCCTAATTGTGTAATGCCTATTAAGTGTGTGGTGAAGTTTAAAGTGTTTTATTTACTAATTACATACTCCTCCTTTATGATTCCTATTACATTATTTACTACAGCTATTTCAAAAGCTAATTATTCACTAAGATTACTCAAGAGAAAGAGTTTCATTCTTGAATGAAAAGAGAAATAAAGCTTTGGTCCTTAAGGAAATGATGTCATTTTATTTTCACAGTGTTAATTTGATAAATTCTCTTTACTATTATTAATTCTGAAGCTGATAATACTATCACAGTATCATTTGGGACATTCAAAAATCTAATCTGGATAATTCATACTAATTATAATAACATCTACTTCAATGACAAGTTTGGGAGTCAAAAAATCTTCATTAAAAAATGGACATGTCAGGTATCAAATGTACTTTTCAGACTAATTTTAATCTTCAAAATGAAAAATATCTTCTTAACAAAATATGTTCATTGTAATTCCCCTCATTTGTCCCCTATTTACGAAAGTAATAATTGAGAGAGTAAAAATTCAACTCAACAATACAAATAATAGCACAAATACTGCTCCATAATACTGCTTATAATATCATTCACCTACTCATTAAACAACTTCAAGATAATGTTATTTAATTCATTTCATAGCACTCATTAAACTTCTTTATGTACCAGGCACTCCGCTAGGCACTGGAGATTAAATTATGAATGAAACACTATTCTTACCCTCAAAGAGCTTTCTGATTAGAAGAGGAGAAAATCATACACAGCAAATGTGTGATAGGTGTGATTATAATAACAGAAGTAGGTATGTCCTCTTATGCAGGTTTAAATGAAAGAGTGATCAGCTCAACTAATCAAATAACTAAAGATTCATAAAGAATCATAAAATTCAATCAATAAAGATTCATAAAATTCATAAAGACTCATATAAACACTAGTTTAAAAGTATAACTCCCATACAACATGCATATTGATAAGAACTCTGCTTATTTTGAGAGCAATAATTTTTTTCCTTTTTATTGAATTTATTAGGGTGACACTGGTTAACAAAATTATACAGGTTTCAGGTGAACAATTCCACAAGACATCTGTACACTGTATTATGTGTTCACCGACCCAAGTCTCCTTCCATCACCATTTATCCTCCCTATGCTTTGCTCCACCTCCCCCCACACCCCCTCATTCTGGCAATCCCCACACTATTGTCCACATCCATGAGGGGTTTTTTCCCTTTTTTTTCTCAATCCATCTACCCCCCAGCCCTTCCAACACCACCACTGCCCCCCAACAGCTGTCAGCCTGCTCTCAGTCTATAGGTCTATCTCTATTTTGCTTGACATTTCATTTTGTTCATTAGATTCTACATATGAGTGAAATCATGTGGCATTTGTCTTTCTCTGACCAGCTTATTTCACTTAGCATAATGCTCTCCAGGTCCATCCATGCCTGACAGCAATAATTCTTTATCTTTACAAAAATAAAAACAAACTTACTAATGTTTCAAGACATACAAGGAACATCACAGAGAATTAAACTTAAAAAGTACCAAATGCTAATCAAGATCTTTGTAAAGATGTACCAAACATTAGTCAAGACCTTTGCATATATTAACTCATTCCACCCTCACAATAATCCTATGAAGTAATTGCTTCTATTATCCCCATTTTACAGATGGGGAGTCTGAGGTTAACTTGACCATGGTCTCATAGACAGCAAAATGAAATGCTGGGACTTAAACCTACAGAATCTAGTTCTAGAGTTCTTGCTCTTAATCACTATATTAGACATCGTCTCTAACAGTGGTGATGATGATAGAATAGCTAATAACAAGTGCTCTGTGACTTGCATTCTTATTTATCCTTACAGCAGCCCACTGAGGAAAAGTCATCCTTCCCATTTACAGGAGAAAACTAGTACAGGCCAGGTTTGAAACTTGCCCAAGGTGAAACAGCCATCTAAGGATGGCAGCAAAATTCAAACTCAGGAAGCCTGGCTGCTGTGGTATGAGGCTTCTCAGTAATTCAATCTTGACCTCATGAAAAAGGCCACATGATAAAATTTATTGAACAATTCAAAAAAGCTTTATATAAGTCTTCCTGAAATACTTTGCAAGGTTTGGGGGCTATGACAAGCATCTCCTTACAATAGCACTTGCATTTGAGTCAACTTTAGTACTTTGGGCTGATCATAAACACATTTCTGCTCTTTAAAAAGAAATTTTTCTGTAGAAAAATGGCAGATTCAGCAGAGAAACAGTCTATTCTTTAACATTAAATTTAGTAACAACTTGTTCTGATTAGTCTGAAAGAGAAGGAGAGAATGAACTACTAAGAGGCCTTTCCTGTACTTTAAATTTCAAAACCTGTTTGATTTAGCCTAATTTGAATCTTGTGGACAACTAGACCAGAACTTGATTCAAATAGAGTAATACCATTTTAAATAGGCTGAATTCTCAAAAGTGACCTCACAGGCCAATTCAGAGTAACTCTTCTCATAATTTTTACTTTTATCTCCAATTAAATGCTGAAGATGCATAAGGCAAGATTCTCATAACGCATATATGGGCAAGCGTGTGTACTTCTGAGCTACCAACAATCAAGAAACTGAACTAAAATTTTACAAATTCTGTAGCATGACACTGTTTGAGAGCAATCAAGAATACAAAAGAGGGATATCAAAAGAAAAAAATACCTATTTTTATCCTTAACACACCCCACCGGGCCCTGTGACTGAGAAATAAAAAATTCTGTGTTGTAATTTCTTGCTAGGAAAAAGTGAACCAAAGATGAAGTATGAAGCTGGATTTTCATTTACCTTGCTTTCCTCCAACAGGTTCAAAGACTTCATAACCTTTACTTTAATATTGAATTCATATTCTTTTCAAAAAGGAATCTGTAAAACTATTTTAAAATAAAAATAGTAAGCCACACTACTAGGCAATCTGTCTTCCCTTGCTCTATTACCACACACTCAAACTAGAAATACCTTTTGTCTTGCCTTTATTAAATGAAAGTTTAACTTTGATTTGGAGGAAAATGTGCCCATTAGCCATTTTACACTTTTTGCAGGTCATAGAGTCTATCAGATCACATTGAGGACTATTACAGTTCACCAAGCATCCTAAAGACAGAAAGCATGCCATTACCGCTCATTTTATAAGCGTTATAATGCTCCGATGGTGGAAGTCTGGCAATACCTAGAAATACAGCAGGGCTGGTGAATAAGGAGTCGAGGGGCGGAGGAAGAGAGAGCTACAGAGGGAGGCAGTCGCCACCTCAAATCCACGCGGGACCAGGAGCCTTCTTCCCACAATGTGATCCTTGCCCTCCCCAAAGTGGACGACTACAACATCTTTCCATACCCTTGCAAGATCCCACACAGTACTCACCCTTCCGCCAAGAAGTCGCCAGCGGTCCAGCTCCTAGACGGGTCGGGGTGGCAGCAAGGGAGGGGACGTCTGGGCTGTGGGCGGGGGGTGTCGGTGCGTCACTCCAGTGTAGGACCGTGAGTTCCAGGGGTGGGAACCGAGAGGAGCCGGGAAATCAAGTCACGGCCGAAAGAGGAGGAACGGGGTGGAGAGCCCCCTCCCTAAAATAAACTCTCCAGCCCCTGCGACCTTCTGGCCCAGGGAGAGGAAATAAAATCGGGGGAAATAATAGACTGGTAAATAAACCTCTAAAAACGATGAGAAGCGAGGAACCGACTTTAATTTAAATGGGGGAAACTGAGCGAGGGCTGGAAGAGAGATTGAGAGAAGTGGCTGTGGGTCTATCCCATGCCTTTGCAGTCCCCAAACAGAGGAGGAGGCTAGCTGAGGGGAAGTTGCAGCGGCTCTTGAGGAGGAGGCGGCGGAGGAGGTTACACCGTAACAAGTACAGACAGACAGCCTTGGATCAGAGGGGCGCTGCGAGCAGGGGCGGCCGTGGCAGGGCGAGTGGTAGTGGCGGTAGCAACGCCAGCTCAGCTCGCTCACGACATTTAATTGGATTGATGGGTTGTGCAGTGACTCACAGACTTTACAGAGTCGTACAGCAGTCCCCGCCCATCTGGACAGGGGAGAAGCAGCGGGGACGGGCGGGGAAAGGGGTCCGCGGAAGAGCCGGGAGGGGAGGAGGTGACTGAGAGGGCGAGGCGTTGGGGGCGGGGAACGAAGAGGACTCACCCAATGGTAAAGCCTGCCGCTTCAACGGGCGTGAGCGTCGGCCAATAATAGCGCGGCTCAATAGGCTGCTGGCTTCGCCCCTATCCCAATGAGTCTACTAAGGACACTGCTGCGAATGAGGCGGGGGAAGTGGAGTGGGGGGTGGGGAGAGGTGGGTGGACGTTGAAGTAGGGGTGGAGGGAAAGATGAGGCGCCGGAGACCCGCGGAGTCACTCTCCTCGCCTCGCTTCAGAAGTGCACCTTCCGCCAATCCTAGGGCCGCATGGGGGTGATGGACGCAAGTGTTTGACCAATTAGGAGAAGAAGGTCTCCTTAGCGAGACAGAGGGAAAGAAGTAGGCGGGCCAATGCCCTCCCCTCCCTCCTGCGTCCCGGTCCTCCCTCCAGCTGGGTTCGGGTCAGTCACGCAAATAACAGTGCGAGGGCCGGGGCCGCGCGGGGGTGGGTGGGGGTGGCGGGCATCGAGCTGCTGGCGGCGTGACAGCGATAGAAACTGGCTGTGTTGCCGACACCATGCGGGCAGGAGGAGGCGGCCGCGGCAGCGGCGGAGGCTGGCTCCTTAGCTTACGGGCTGTTGTGTAGCTTGCAGCTCCTGCTGCTGTTCAGCCTCTGCCTGGAGCTGCCGGGGAGCCCCTATAGCCAAACTCCACAGCCGAGGAGCAACCAATTTGGAGTAAATCACATCAAAACTTTGCCCACCTCCATGCAGTGCCCTCTCTTAGAGACAGCTCCGTGTGACATCCTGTGGGGCTATGCTCTGGGGTCGGTAGGAGCTGGAAGCCAGAGACAGGAGGCTTGGCAATGGCATTTGCGTCCTTGCTTGCCTATGTTTTGGGGAAGTCAGCGTAGGGTGCGGACAGGTTGGAACAGCTCCTGAATACATACCATTTCTTGATTGAGTCTCTGGGAAACGCACTCCTTAACCAGGCATAAGCGAAGCTGTATGGGCTTTGCTTTTTAAATGCCTGTATGTACCTTGGCTTCTTCCAATACTCCCTTCCATACCACTCTCCCATTCTCTGCCCACCCTCCGCAGCTGCTACCTGATGGCAATGCTGAGGAGCACTCACTCTTAGATCTTTGCTCATTCCCAGGAACTATGGCTTTTCTCAATTTCTTGCCTATGGTCCAGTAATCATTTTACAGACCTTAGCCCTTCCACGTGCGCATGTGTACGTGGAAGTAATTGTAATTACCAAAAGACTTGAATAGAAATGCACACAAAAGCAATTACACGGCAAAAATCCACCTTCTTTCCCACAAGGTGTATTTCGGCACCTTGAAATTTACAATTGCTACCCATCAAGAAACCAAGGAAAGACAATTTATATCGCATCTCTACAAAAAGATTTTCAAAACTATTTAGAATACCCACTGTCCATTTGCCACGGGCAAGTCAACTGGAGAGAACTAGAATCTGTTTAGGGTCTTGAAGAAAATAATGATTTTTTTTTCATAATTGTATTATCAAAACCCACAATGGTCTGGAATTCAGAGGAGAACATGAAAGTGTACTCTGGTCATATTGAAGTTTTTCTTGATTGTCATTTTAGGGTATGATTCTTCCCCTGAGCTGCAGTTGTGACACTCCACCTGACACCTTTTTTTGCCTCTTCCCTGCCTGATTTTAGCCCTACTCCATGATTTCAGTCTGTAATCCCAAGTCCACCTGAGAAAATGAGCTGTGCCATAAACTTTTTGTGATACCTAGCTTGTGTATGTGTTGCCCTTCCGTGTGTTGAAATTCCTTTGGAATTCAGCAGTGTGGGGAGGCCAGTGTCCTCACCCCAGGACATAGTGATCCACAGAAGGTGACCAGTGCTCCCTTTGCCAGGTCACCACATGATAATCTAGACAAACTAAGTCCCTCATATGGGAAAAAAATCACCTTTCTTTCTAATGTGAACTATTTTACTACTTTTAGAATGTGCTAATGATGCATTTTAGAGAAAGCCTTTTTCTTGTTTCTTCTACTGTGAGGTCATTTTGTGGCTCAGGTGAATATAACTGGTGAGAATATTATCTTACTGTGGAGGGTCCTTAATAACACAGAAGATTTTGAGTCTAGACATACACTAAAATCTTTCTAAAGGACCTTCGGATACTCGGGGTTAGCATCCTGTGGTAGATGTTGCCTGTTTGTCATTTGGTATTGGCACACCTCCAGTCCCAACCATGTGTCACTTTCTAATTCTCCCTCTTCTAGTATTTTTTAATGGTCATCCAAGGCCTACTCACATTCCTGGATCTGCTCTTAGAATCATTATTTCTATAGGCTGGACCTAGACATCTGCTCTTTAAACAAATACCCTAGGTGACTTAAATAAATATTAAATAAATTGTTGGATTTGAGAACCCCTATTTATTCCTTCCCTTTTTTCTTTTCCTTTTTCACATATGTTTCCTTTCTTCCATATATATTTCCTTTCTCCTAAATATTTTCTATTTCTCATTTTTGTAATCATTTCCCTTTCTACCTTTCTTATACACAGGGCTGTGTTACACACTGGCAGTGATCCCTAAAAAAGAGAATGAAGCTGGAAAATTGTCTTTTATAAATACCATCAGCATAACATATAACTATAATATTTAGAAGTATAGGAAAATCAATTAATTTTATAAGCTTAAAAATATCATTGTAGTTGATGTGGTATATGAATCTGTAATATGTAGGAAACTTTCTAGTTTATGATTTCAAAGCACAAAGAAATGGAATTCTTCATATGTAGGAGCCACACTTCAAAATGCAAATTTCAACATACAAATAATACATTTAAATTATTACTGTCATTTTTCTTCCAAACAGTGTACTGAGACTGATAAAGTCCTAAGAACTATTATGATTACAAAAAAAATGTACTGCATGATATTTTTGTTGTCTCAAAGAACTTACAGTCTAATTGAGAGGCTCAAAAGTATACACACACAATATTTAAATAGGAACCTGAGAAAAAGTCTAGGAAGACTTTAAGTGTGTTTGTTAGAGATAAGAAGGATTTAGTTCACTATCAATTTTCCCTTTGCTTATCTGTACTTTCTAATCTGTTATGATTATGACTTACATGTTTAACTTTTTAAAAATCTAAATTAAAAAATTTAAAGCAATATGTGGTAATAAAATTTCCCTTTTTACTGTTATTTAGATATTTACATGGTTGTGGCTAATCTCAATTAAATTATAAGCTTTTTATAAATAAACTTGAATTATACTACACACATGGACCAGGAAGCTACAGCAAATTCTTCATTGAGGGTAGAAGATTCAAACCAGGCCTCATTAGAATTCCCACAGATAGATCCTGGACAAACATAAGTTCACTGTCCAAATTACAAAACAAATGAAGAAAAAGCCACCATATGCAAGAGGAAGCTGAGATAGAAGAAAGAAAAACAGCAGAATTAGATTCCAAATCTAAAAAAGGACAGTTCAGCCCTGGCTGGTGTGGCTCAGTGGAGTGAGTGCCGACCTGCAAACCAAAGGGTTGCCGGTTCGATTCCCAGTCACAGCACATGCCTGGGTTGCAGGCCAGGTCCCCAGTAGGGAGCATGTGAGAGACACCCACACATTGATGTTTCTCTCCTTCTTTCTCTTTCCCTTCCCCTCTTTCTAAAAATAAATAAATAAAATCTTTTTAAAAATTAAAAAAGACAATTAAAAAAAAGGAATAGGCCCATTTCACTTATGAACATAAATATAAAAATTCTAAATAAAATGTTAGATAACTGAATCCAACATGTTTACTCCATCTGGTGAACTGGGAGAAATTTTGGGACTCATGACCCTGTCTTTAGTTTAGCATACATCTATTTAGCTACCTATCCAGCCATCTCTCATGTAAACATGATAAATCAAATAGTGTTTATTCCAGAAATCCAAGTATAATTCAACATCAGAAAGCCTATCAATGTAATTTATATAAAAAAATTAGGAGATGCTCAATATCACTAGCCATTAGAGAGACGCAAATTAAAACCACAGCAAGATACCTCTACATAACAGTCAGTATGGCTATCATTAATAAATCAACAAACAAGTGCTGGCGAGGTTGTGGAGAAAAGGGAACCCTAGTACACTGTTGGTAGGAATGCACACTGGTGCAGCCACTGTGGAAAACAGTATGGAATCTCCTCAGAAAACTAAAGATGGAACTGCCTTTTGATCTTGTGATCCCACTGCTGGGACTACCTGAAGAATCCTGAGTCACCAATTCAAAACAACCTATGCACCCCAATGTTCATAGCAGCATTATTTCCAATAGCCAAGAACTGGAAATAGCCTAAGTGCCCATCAGTAAATGAGTAGATTTAAAAAACTGGTACATTTACACAATGGAATTCTATGCAGCACAAAGAAAGAAGAAATTCCTACCCTTTGCAACAGCATAGATGGAACTGGAGAGCATTATGCTAAGTGAAATAAGGCATATGATGAAAGACAAATACCATATGATTTCACCCACAAGTGGAATCTAATCAACAAAACAAATAAGCAAAATAGAACCAGAGACTTAGAAATAAAGAACAAACAGTGACCAGAGTGGAGGGGGATAATGGAGGAAAGAAGGGGAAGGGGCAAGCAAAGGAACATGAAGAGAGGACTCATGGACACAGATAATGGGGGGGGGCATTTACTGTGGGAGTTGGGGAGGCAGGGGAGTGAGCAGTGGGGAAAGAGGTGGGACAACTGTAACTCAACAACAAAAAAAATAGGAGTAAAAGCATTTGAGAAAGTATATCACTTAATAATAAAAACTTTTAGAAAATTAGGAATAGGAAGAAATTTTCTTAACTTTATATAGGGCCAAATAT